GTATTGATATGGTGAATATGTGGACTCGTGTGCGCCACCTCAAAAGAGTTACTTGCAGTCGTAGTTCAGGATAGCCACCAAGTCAAAGCTGGCTTGCTGCAGTTAAACCCCACCATCCCTTTGTTGATAATGATGCATATGTAGATAGTTCTGATGTAAGTCTTGCTGGGTACATTTGTACTCACGTTTGCCTATTTATGTTTTTGCAGAGAGACTTCAGTCTCACTAGTATTTCCGCGTGGTCTTCGACGTTTAGCTTGTTACCTCAGCTACGATCTTGTGCCTCGGCAGGATCTGGTAGATAGTCAGGCTTCTCAGCCTTTTTCATTTATAGATGTCTGTACCCAGACATGATAGCTTCCGCTTGTGCTTTGACTTGTATACTCTGAGTGTTGGGTCATGAGACCATGTTTGTAATATCTCGCTCCTCGGAGCCTATTGATAAAATACCTGAGTTATAGAGTCATGTTGTGATGCTTCGTTGTATTTGCACATATCGAGCATATTGTGTGTATGATTGAAATGCTTGGTATGTGTGGGATCTGACTATCTAGTTGTTTATCTTTAGTAGCCTCTCTTACCGGGAAATGTCTCCTAGTGTTACCGCTGAGCCATGGTAGCTTGCTACTGCTCTGGAACACTTAGGCTGGCCGGCATGTGTCCTTCTTCGTTCCTGTGTCTGTCCCTTCGGGGAAATGTCACACATTGAGTATCGGAGGCCTGTTAGCCCGCTACAGCCCGGTTTACCGGAGTCCTGCTAGCCCAGTGCTACAGCCCGGACCCACTTGCTGATGACCGACACGTTCGATGCTGGGTCATGGATGCCTGTCCCTGTAAGTCTGTGCCACTTTGGGTTTACGACTAGTCATGTCAGCCCGGGCTCCTTATCATATGGATGCTAGCGACACTATCATATACGTGAGCCGAAAGGCGCAAACGGTCCCGGGCAAAGGTAAGGCGACACCCGTGGGGATACCGTGTGTGAGGCCGCAAAGTGATATGAGGTGTTACCGGCTAGATCAATGTGACATCGAGTCGGGGTCCTGACACCCGAGCACTGCGCTCATTCCAAATGGTCCAAGAGACAAGCATGGTGAGGGTGGCCGAGGCACTTCGGTTGGGGGACATGGTTGCTAGTTCGCCTGTCCCACCATTCGTGGACAGAGCCGGCAAGGTGTCAATCAGAGCTGTCCATGTGAGCAAGTCTAAGCTTGGCGATGATGACCTCCATAGCCTAAGCTTGTAACGACACTTGAAAAAGAGATACACACCAGTTTCTTGTTCCCTTTTGCAAAGAGGGCAGAGGCCACAATTTGTCCAACCCTGCCTCTGCAGACAATCGGCAGTCCAGATCCTATCTTGGAGGGCCAACCATGCGGAATTTTTTACCTTCGGGGGAGCCCAAACTTTCCAAACAATGCGATCCATAGGGGAGAGAGTTAATCCAATGAACTGGGCATTTTACGCGATGGCCGCCGTGTAGATCCCATTGGTTGAGTGCTTCCAAACAATGTCACGCCAAGCTGCTTATCAAGGTGGATGTCATTCACAAGCATCCGTAGAGTGAAAAACTCCCAGATGTGATCAGCAGAGACGACGGTGTTGAAGTAGATTTTGAATATCCATGCATCACCTTTGAGAGCCTCCCTTACCTTCCAATTATTTCTCCTCGAAGCCTAAAAAATTAGCGGTGCAATATCCTTGAGCTTGCGCCCGAGAAGCCAAGGGGAGTCCCAAAAAGGTGTTTTGGTGCCGTCCCCCATGGTGATGGTGGTCGAAGCATAAAAGAAGTTGAGATCATCCTCCGTGCAAGGGTTGCCAAATCCTACCCACAATCTGTGGGGTTCCTTCCACTCATACCAAGGCCATCGCAGCCGAAGAGCACATGCAAAATTGTCAGTGTTAAGAACCCCAAGACCACCATACTCCTTCGGCGTACAGACCGTATCCCAATTGACCTTGCATTTGGCGCCTTCCGCCTTATCCCCTCCAGACTAGAGAAAAGATCTTTCAATTTTGGTTAGAGAGCATGCTTGGTGGTACAATAAGAGGCGTAATGGAGTACGCCGCTTGGGAGCATATAACCGACTTGACCAGAGCCGTGCGGCCAATAGTCGTGATGTTTTGGCCCTCCCAAGTAACCAGTTTGCCAGCCGCCTTATCCTCGAGATATTGGAAATCCACCTTCTTAAGTTGTCATACCGAGAGTGGCAGGCCTAAGTATTTCACCGGGAAGGTTGCCCGGGTAGCTGGCATATTTCCAAGTATGCGTCCAAGGTTGAGGTTGTTGCACCGAATTGGCACCGCCGAGCTTTTCTGAAAGTTGGTACAGAGCCCCGTAACCTCACCAAAGCCTCGCAAGATCGATGTGAGGTTATCAATATCCTGCTTGATAGGATCCATAAATACCGCCGCCTCATCCGCATATAGGGAGGTTCGCACCGTGGCCCCACGCCCACGAATCTTATGAAGAAGGCCTTTTCGTGTTGCCAAGTCAAGGATTTTATGAAGTGGATCAATCGCAATGACAAATAGGAGGGGGGAGATCGGACCCCCTGCCGAAATCCGTGACCATGCTTGATCGGTGGGCCGGGCAACCCATTGAGAAGGATGCGAGATGAAGATGTCGAAAGAAGGGCAGCAATCCAGAGAGAGGATTTTCTACAATGCACGGGAGGTCCCGTGCATGCATCCATCACATTCTTTATTATTGTGTGGGACCGCTTCTATAGTGTTTTTTCTCACCCAACATGGTACATTCACATGCTGTTATGTACTGACTAAGTTTCATTCAGATAAAGCGATGCCTAATGCATGTCGAAATAAAAGTTTGATTTACATTCTGCTTGCACAATTGTGTTTTTTCTGACAAGGTCTTTCAAACAAGACCAACATTGTATACATTTTCAGAAATTAATTTTTTGACAACTAAATCACAATGCTTCAAACTTGTTCCATACAAATTTATTAATTCCATGTGAAAATTTTAATAATGCTTCATTGTGTTTCACAAAAAAATCTAATTGTTTTACTATGGCTCCCCATGTTCTGTTGCATTTCATAATGTTACACTGTGTGCCAGTGTGTATCAAACTGATTCTTACCAATCTAAAAGTTAGTAAATATTAATAGATTTTGTTGCAACAAAACTTTGAAATTATCTAGTGTTTAAAAAAACATAGCATAGTTATGTGTACTTTTATAGTGTTTCGCCATGTTTCAGAATTTAAAATTTATTGAAATATATTCAAAAGTGGTCTCGTTTCAAAGGTCTCATCGTCAAAAACACAAATATGAAAATGGATCATAAATTGTTCTTTTGGTTCAAAAGATAAAATAGATTTAAACTTGTGAATAAAATGAAAAAAGCATTGGGATGGTGAAGCATAGATGGAACATCGTGCTTGCATGCGGTGAGAGAAAGATCTAACTAACTGCGAGCAGTATAAATGCATTGTATCGGATCTCCAAGCAAAAATCAACGGCGCATGCATGCACGGTACTTCCCGTGCATGGGAGATTAGCTTTTCTCCAGCAATCCAGGCACGAAACTTTGCGGGGAATCCCAGGCATTGAAGAAGGTCCGGGATGTAACTCCACTTGACCGAGTCAAACGCTTCTTGATGTCAAGCTTGAAAATGAGGGCCGGAGTTTTGCACTTATGTAACCTTCGCGGGAAATTTCGAACGTACATGAAATTGTCAAGAATGTTGCCCCGCTTATAAATCACTTTGAGCGTTGGAGACTAGGCCATCCATGTGGGGGGCTAGCTGGAGCGAGAGGACCTTATCCGCATGTATTTGAAAAATGTACAGAAAGCAAAAAACATAAAAAAAATAAAAAAAATACCCAATGAAATCAGAAAACACACAGAAAAAACAAGAAGAAAAGAACCGCACGAAAACTTCTAAAATCAGTTCGAACCGGTCCATAGAAGCTTCCAAAAACCTCCTCGAGAAGCTATATAAAGCGCACGTTATAGAGGGGCCTGTTATCAAGAGCACCAGAGCCAAGACGAGCCTAGGCGTTGTTTGAATAAGCTGAACATGCAGAACCCAGTAAGCGAGACGTTGTTAGTTTACGTAGATGTTTTACGTAGGCTTACGTAGATGCAGCATTATCGCTGGTGAATAGAGCTCGTGGTCAGCTTTCGCGGCCTTGGTCTGAGCTAGCCAGGCCGAATTTCGCGACCCAGCATGACATCCATACGGCTAACTGCCTTCTTGTGTTTGACTTTTTTTCAGAGGCCGATCGACGGAGGGGGAGAAAGCGTACGGCGTACTACTGAATATGGCTCACTGCCATCTAGTACTAGTGTCAAAAAAACGTCTTACATTATGGACGGAGGGAGTATTTTTGGACGAAGGATGTACCAACCCCCAAATACCATGGCGCTGCCCACTGAACCGAGACTATCATTGGTTGGCCCAACCCCGTGCACACACGACGCAAATTGTGTGTGGCGCCAAGAATCGACCGATGGTGCGACGCAGCTCACAAGTGACACAAGTTCCAAGTTCCAACCATCCATCCCACCCTATATGCACCACGACAGAAGTCCAATTTGCGTGCGGGCCAGAGGAACCTAACCCTCGTTCACGTCACGCGCGACCCGTGCGTCTACGCGGCACCCCGCCCGCGCCCGCCAGGCCGCCACGCCCTACGTGTCTCCTCGGCTGCATGCCACCGTCTCATCCCTATCCTTCCGTCCCGCCGCGGCGCGGCTCATCTACCCGCCTCTGTATGCGTACCGGCGCACGCCATGCCGTCATGCGATGCATGGACGCCTGCCGCGCGCCGCATCCTTCCATGCCGCAGCAATGCCTTTCCGTCCCCAGCACCACCGCACCACGCCTCTATATATGCCGCCCACGGCACCGCACACAGCCACACACACGACACACCTGAGTATTCATCCTCATCAAGGAGCACAGCGTCAGTCCTAAGTAGCAGCATCAGACCACCAGTGATCTAGCTAGGACAGACACAGTCCACGTGAAATGGCTCGGGTGGTTGGTGCCTCCGGCGCTTGCGCGCTGCTCGTCGTCCTGCTCGTCGCGTGTGCCGCTTCCGCAGCGCGCACCGAGCCGGGCGCCGCGCGGCAGCTGTGGGACGACGGGAGGAAGGTGGGGGGAAGGACGGAGGTGAGGGACGTGGAGGGCGACAGGGAGGTGCAGGAGCTTGGGCGGTACTCCGTGGAGGAGCACAACCGGCGCCGGGAGGAGGGCTGCGAGGGCGGCGGCGGCGGCGTCTGCGCCCGGCTGGAGTTCGCCCGCGTGGTGTCCGCGCAGCGCCAGGTGGTCTCCGGAATCAAGTACTACCTCCGTGTCGCGGCCGCCGTGGACAACGGCGCAGGGAGCAATGGCATCAGCGATGGACGCGTGTTCGACGCCGTGGTGGTCGTGAAGCCCTGGCTCCAGTCCCGCGCGCTGGTCAGGTTCGCGCCGGCCGACTCCAACTGAGCAGCTGCACGCGCGATCGGACGAACCGCTGCGTGCTTTTTTGCGCCCCAGAGTGTACAATGTACACTCCAATAGCGAAGTGTGAGCTAGAGTTGACCGCCAGAGTATACAGGCGGTCAAAGTTTTGTAAGGTCTCCTGGATAAAAAGTTTTGCAAGAGATGAGAGGGTCGAAATAAATACTACAATATCGATAAGAATGTTTTGCTTCTAGTACTAACTGATGCCATGTGCTTCTAGTACAAACTTCGTACACACGATAAGATCGACAACGGGGAACTTACCGAACATTCGGAGAAAGCCCAGGCAGTGCTGAATCATTTTGTGAATCTTCTAGGAGAAGAAAACGTGGACATGACTTATTGAAAAAATAGTTTCAATAAAGTCCTAATTCGTGTCAAAAAAAATTATATAATTTCCAATCAATGCACACACAATGTTTATAAATTTTATCATGCTCTCACTTATTTCTTGTAAATACAAGCATCTCTACCTTAAATCAAATTATCTGACCATTTCATCAAGGCAAATATATCAACGTCACTATTCTTGCTTCAGTCTATTAAAAGATCTCTTGAAGTTTACACACTAACTAGCATCCTCTGGATTGACAAAATTATGGGAATCCTTTTTGACATCCGTCTATTATATCTTATAATTAAAATATATAGTAATTGTTAGTTTAATTCGAACTGACTTTAAGACGAGACAATCTCATCATAGTCAATTCCTTGATCTTGTAATAAACTATTTGCAACAACCAAGCTTCATAAAACATTTTTAACTTTGTCAGTTTATAGAACCATTACTATGCGTTAGACTCTAAGTCTTCTGGAGGGTTTATCAAGTTTTAAACTTGAATTATGTATATGGATACAATCTCGAATTACTTTGGTATGTAGCCAATTCTGGAGTCCGGGCCCATTAACGTTTCTTTGTGTTTTATAGGTTCATTGAACAACATATCGTCTGCACACCATGAAGGTTTACACGAGTTTGCCCAACATATATAGTTCAATTGCAAGTTCGATCGAAATCTCTATATCTCATGTAGAGGCTTCCGTATCAATCATGGTAGGAAATCATGGAACTACTTACAGTGGTTCTTTCATTTGACCCGATGACGAAGAATCTATAATCTCGTAGAGTTTCACTGTCCTCCTACTCGCTCTTTTGCAGAAAACATTTTCTTCAAAATTTACAATCAACGCCTGTCGACCCAGAGTCGAAATCTGCATTGGATGATCTATCTGATCATAAGTAATAGGCACTTGCGACAAAGTAAAGTATTTAGGCATTGCAGGAGCAACGACGTTCACTTCCCAACTGACACACTAGGATAACCCTTTGCACTCGGGGTCCGCAAAAATCAGGAGCAGACCTTACTCCATCGGATACCCATTGTGCGGTTTATCATCATCCTCTTTCCTGCTCTTGCCCTCATAAGCCACGGATTAACCAGCCATCATCCTTTTCAAGACCCTGCACTACCAAGTGGTGTGCTTTGGATAGATGAGAATTCCTTCCTCATCTTTTGTGATATGGATGTGAAACGACTTGTCTAGAATATCAATTTCTGTGTTCGCCTTTTTCCGAGGTGTCCACTCATTCTTGTGGTTGCCCTTACCCTTATTCTGGTTGGGTATCACAAAGCTTGGCGTTGCTGACACTGTCATTGTCATCCAACTTGCACTTGTTTTTTTATGGTTATCTCAGTTTTGGCGCAACTGATCATTATTGATGTACTCAGTAGACTCGGCACATCCCGTACCTCTCATGACTCTATCTTATTCTTTGCCATTCACATAACAGTTGGCAATATCTAGCCGTCCGTTCAGGGATAAACATCTAAAAGACCGAGTTTAAAGCTCAAATCAGGATATCTGACACCTTGTTTGAAGGCATGAATCACTTGATGCTGTGTAATGTTCTCTACCGAGTTATGAAGAGTGGTCCACCTCTGAATGTACTCACCAGAGTCTCACACAGTGTCTCGTTCTGCATCCAGGTATGCATATCTAGGTATGCACTTGCGCCAGTATTCGGGACAAGCTATCTCCAGGACCGAATGGTATCAGTGGCATTTTGTGCTCGTGTGATCAGATTTTTCTCCACTCGGTTCAAACGTTCCCTCTCACCCAAAGTGTCCAATCGATCTGCCTCTAGCAGTAAACCTACAAGCATGGATGTGTCAATCAGTGTCTGCAGTGCTTGTTTAGACTCACGCGAGCGTTGCCAGCTGCTCCCGAGTGAGAGCACCAATGCCATCGTAGGCACAATCACCATTGTCGGCATCATCCTGGTTGTGTCTTGTGCCATCACGCATCGCGACACACGGTTCGATGCTAGTCGATCTGGCCGAAGGGTATTTGCCATAAATACTTCTGCTTCGGCAGCAGGGCTACCATATCTCTTGTCATCTTCTATGATGGATACAAAAAGAAACGATTAGGTAGAATGCATCATTGCTACCTTTTTTGCCGCCGCAACATGAAGAACAGTGGGGTGGATGGGATTTGCCGGAGCGCTTCCTGCGGCAACAAACGACAAGCAACTCTACGACACAGTATGGAACCGGCTCCTAGTGGTACAACATGTTGGAGTCATCAACGTGGTAGTGAGTGATGATATGAACAGGCAACAACTCGCAATTCAGCGGGGCCTCAAAAGCCACGCCGAATCATCAGCAATGAAACCGGTGTACCCGAAGAAGATGATCTTTCGAGAGAGGAAATCAACGTTGGTATTTGATAACGAAACCATTTGCACCATGGATCAAAAGATGCAGGTCCCCAAGGTGGGCGCCAAGTGTCGTGGTTCTAAATCTAACAGTAAGAGAGGGAGTGTAACAATGCTTGATCTTTCAAGATGTAGATGGGTGACACAAGAAGTATACAGGTTCATGCCCCTTGACGGTGGAGATAACAACCCTAATTATGTCTCATGGGGAGGTGTTCTTGCGTACAGATTTGAGAATACAAGGGTGTCGAACGTGTAACTGGCCACCAATGGTAGGCTTATATATATTGTGCTATACGAAGAGGCCATTATCTAGCTACGTTACATGTGTGTTAATGAGTAATAGTCTGTGTCCACTACTGAAGGAAATGGCCATCCATTATCAACAATGATGACAACCAGTAATGACAGGCATTAGTGCATAGCTAGTGTTGCGCTTCTCTAACACTTCCATCAACACCCTAGCTATTGGCATTCTGAGTGAACCAAGTGAAGTCTCACCCTTATAGGTGCAAACCGAGTGACCATCATCCAACTAATGAAATTCCTCCTATGGGTTCCCACATCGAATGATTAAACCCCTTTATTACTATCATTGAAATGGGTTGCAAATGACAACGGGCTTGGGCCTCCATGAGCCTCATTTGGGCTCTATATTGACATGGGCCTAACCGGTGGGGGGTAATATCGACATCTAGCACATGACAATACACTACTTGCAAAATACTACTGTTGCATTACTCGCCGCTTGGACCATCTCTGTTCGCAAGGGTCGAAGAGTCGCGTGCCCGCTTAGGCCAACTCTAACTGATCCCCTTTAAAATAGAGGAGGATCAAGCCAAGCAAAGCTTAGTGGAGTATATTTACTCCACTAACTTTTGGTCGAACCTAGTCGATCCCCTAAATATAACAGAGTAAAATTTATTTTTCTAAACTTACGCAATTCTAGTATACATTGCAACTACATATTAGCACGCATATAGAAACAAAACATAAGTATGAATGTTCAAGCAAATATGAATATAGTTTACAAATCGGATTCAAAGTTTACAAACTGAATTATTTAAATTTAAACACATTGAATGGTCCAAATGTAGCAAATAACATGTGAAAGAACTACCAGGAAGCGCTATGAAGTTGCCAGTGATGCTCAATAAGATCTTCTTGTAGTTGAGTATGAACTTGTTGGTTCTCGATCCTATGATGCTCTTCAAGGAATGCCATGATCCTATTTGGATCATACTCTTGGTCAACTGGAGTCCCATTTGTGATGTACTGAAAGTTCTCAGGCATATCCATCTCTTCTTCAATGTTCATGTTTTTTAGCAATATTCAATGATCATGTTAAGCAATATGATGCAGCAAGTCATGGTCGGCCACAGAACCTTGGAGCTCCAGTACTTGGCAGGGCCACGAACAATTGCGAAGCGCTTCTGAAGCACAATGAGGGCTCTCTCCACATTTTTCCTAGTAGCTTCTTGACATTGAGAAAAGTGAATATTTTTGTTACCTTTTGGATGCGAAATTGTTTTGACTAATGTGGCCCATGGTGGATAGATACCATCCGCAAGGTAGTAACTGATCGAGTAGTTGTGCCCATTGACTGAGTAGTTGCAAGTAGGAGCATCTCCTGCAATAAGCCTAGAAAATAGTGCTGATCTCGACAGCACATTCAATTTAGTGTGAGAGCCACGTAAACAAAAGATTGAATGCCATATCCAAAATTTCTTCATTGCAACTGCCTCAAGAATGATCATTAGATTGGTGCAGTGGCCTTTGTACTGAACCTTCCACCTTGCAGGACAATTCTTCCATGTCCAGTGCATACAGTCAAGTGATCCAAGCATCCCTGGCCATCCTCTTGCTTCACTCTCTGTCATTAGCATCTGGGTGTCTTCCTCGTCGGGTGCTCTCAAGTACTCCGGGCCAAAAACAACGATATCTACTTTAGTGAACCTTCGAATGGCCTCCAAAATTGTGTATTCACCAATGCGGACATGGTCGTTAATTGCATCGGCCGAACACCCACATGCCAAGACTTTAACAACCGCACTGCACTTCATCAGAGGGCTTGCACTTATCTCTCCACTTGCATTCCTTTGGAGCTTGAACCAGTCATCATACTTCTCAACGTATTTTGCAAATGGTCGGAAAAAGACTTGTGTGCATCCGAAAGCGCCGGTGAAAGTACTTCTCCAGATAGGTTGGATTTCGAGCAGTCTCTCATGATCTTGGCATGGCCCTCCGCTCTATCACGGTTGAT